GGTAATTAACACATTCTAATCAAAACACTTTCTAACAATATTTTCAAGCATTTCCACCAGGGGGCACCCCCTCATTGAAAGCCTGGGCCAAAAAAAAAAAAAAACCACCCTGAAGGTTTGTAAAAATACCTGAGACTGTCTACACTTGCTGCTTTAGAGCTCCTGGAGTGTTCCAGGGTTTGAACTGTGGCTTTAGAGCTTCATATTCCAGGCAGAAAAACTGCCCTTGCTCCGACAGAATAATTAAATGGAAAGAAAATGCTTTGCCCCTAAAACTCTATATGCTCCAATGGGAAGTCATGCCAACATCAAAATATGGGTAGAGAAATTCTATGTCTTCTACTCTAAGTCATACAGAAATGACTTAGTCTTGTGTTAGCAAGACTTGATAGAGAATATTATTATATATTTTTTCATGTGTTTGCTTTTGTCACCATAGTTCTCTGGTACAGCAGGAAATATTTTCAACAGATGATATATTTTGTTATTTAAGATTTATAAATACCTAATTTTGAAATTTCCAACATATAGTAACATCCTAAATAATTGTATGATCACTTTTACCTAATCCATTTTTTAAATTACCGAATGGTTAATACAGATAAACATCTTACAAAGTGCATGAATTTGTTGAAGGTTCACCCTGAGTAAATTTATATTACCATTAGAATTTACCCATGGGTAGCATACCTTGTTCTTAAGTTTGTATGATGCATTCACAATTTTTTTCCCTCTGAATACACATAACCTATTTAGTAATTATTTATCTAATACCTAAGCAGTAGGCATTGTGCTTGAATAAAAAAATGAATATTAGATTATTAAACTCAAGGAATTTATAACATGGTATTTATGTGTACTGTATGTTTTTGTCTGTTTCTGTATAGTTCTTGTATATTGCTTTGCCAACACATCTTTTAATATATAACATTTGGTGGGGAAGAGTGGAGAGCAATGACTATTTTTTCACACTTATTTTCAGACTTTTTTTGAGACCTATATTTTTGGATTTCAATGTGACACATCAAAAACACAGTCAATCTAATTAGTTGGCCTTGTGCAAATTAAATAGCTGGATGATTGACTGCCTGTTTGACTGAATTTTTGTTAAATTGACTGAATGTTTTACTCTTGTATAAACACAGTTGCAACATTACTTGTCATTATTATGAATGTGAGGACATGTACCCTTCATTCACATTTCTTGTGGTGGAGCTGAAAGTTTGGGTCCAGTTTCCAGGCTTCAATTGCATAAACCAAGTGAGAGACTAAAATTTAGTATTAAACCCCCTGGGCCTATTAGATTCTTCAGGAGTAGCAGCCTATAAATCACTTTTAAAGTGGACAGTGCTTTTATACTGTCTGCATCCAAGTGTTATGTGTTGGCAATATGGTACATTATCCCTGAGGAACTGGGAACAAAATGAGGTCAGCACTTTAGGAAAACATGAAAAAACTCAAATGTTACCATCTTGGGACTCGATTGTTCTGATATGATCCTCTACCCTCCCCTACCCCAAATGTATGTTTTCACTGTTTCTGTAGGCTTATTGGGAAATGAAATTGGCAAATTATGTAGAGATCTATTCTGAGCTATATTGTGATAAGCTGATATTCTGGCTAAATGTGGAAAGCAAATACAGGCCATGATATTATTTCATGTACAGAATTAAAGAAGTAAGGGCTGCTCAGCTCTTATTAAATGGACAGAAAATTTTCTAATCCTTCTATTTCATATATAATCCCTTAAACAAAATAGGGGGAAACCACCCATTTGTGAAAATTTTCTTCCAAAAATTAAAAAAAAATTGACAATTAATGCTGTTATTTGGGGAGAAAGACACCTTATAGAAGTTTACTAATTTTTGTACATTTCTGGGACTAATTTTTTTCATCCCTCAAGAAATTAGTTAATTACAGATTTTGTTCTGTTTCTTTTTTTTTTTTTTTTGGCATGCTATAAATATTCTACTTCCTACTCAAAGGATATTAATTTACAAATTTATTATCTCTGGCTTCTCCCATTCTTTTTCTTCTGCTTATTTAGTTGGCACCCTAATTTTTTTCATCCCTCAAGAAATTAGTTAATTACAGATTTTGTTCTGTTTCTTTTTTTTTTTTTTTTGGCATGCTATAATGGATTTTTCCAATATGGAAAAGGGGTTATATATTTGGAATTAATGGTTTCTGAAATTCAATATTTCAACCTGTTCCCTAGATGTATAGTATAGCAAGATAGCATTTAGTCACTATAGTTCCCTTAAATGGTAAATAGAATCATTTGTTGCTGACTCTTAATTTGAAATTTAAAGAAAAACTTACAATATTGCCTGTGAAAACATAGCATTAATCTTAGGTGATTCTTTGGTAGTATTATTTTTTTCTAATATATTACAATTCATTTTCCGGTATTTTATTTGGAAGTTCTACTTCTCTAGAAATGGCTTTGTATCTTTATGTATGGGGCTGTTGGCATTCCATGCCTTTGTCTAGGCAACTTGAGGACTGTGCAGTTCAGTGCTGTTTTATTTGGAGCATTTCATTTATTCTTAACTTCCCTCGATCTTCTCTCTGTGAAAGATTTCATGGCATGTTAAGCTACTCAAAGGAAGGAGACCAATTAGGCAGTTTCAGTTTATGTTATATGTAAAACAGATGCTTAATAAAATTAAGAATATAATTGAGGCTCTCTTCTCTACCACTTCAATTGTAACTAATATATTCCTATGTAGAATTAATGCTTCTGACCATTTTCTAAACAGAGTAGAGAAGAAAAGGGAAGGGTCAGCACTGGATGGGCAGAGCATGGATGGAGCAAGTTCACCCTGTGCTTTTATTCCATGCAGGGCTTGCTTTCAGAAATCCTCCGGAAGGAAGAGGACCCCAAGACTGCATCCCAGTCTTTGCTGGTAAACCTTCGGGCTATGCAGAATTTCTTGCAGTTACCAGAAGCTGAAAGAGATCGAATTTACCAGGATGAAAGGGAAAGGAGCTTGAATGCTGCCTCGGCTATGGGTCCTGCCCCACTGATAAGCACACCACCCAGCCGCCCTCCCCAGGTGAAGCCTCCTTTCCTCCTTGCTCTTCTGCCTTTTGCTAGTTTTTATGTCTGAGGAAGAATCTCAACAAGAAATTGGAAAGATAGATGGATATTGTTTTTTAAAATATAATAATTCATAGAGTTGCTTGAGGAGGATTTGGTCCCAAATCACTAATTCTGATATAAAAACAGTAAGCTACTAATTAGGCAGAGAAAATTGCTTTGTGTTGCTTCATTTTTGGGGTTCTTTGAAGGCAAAAAGTAGTTTTTAAATAGGATATTAATCTCTACTACTTTTATTGAGTGAAGTATTTTTAACTCATTAGGAAAACAGTAATAAAGTCAGTTTTAGCCCTATAAGTTTTAGAACTGCCATTTCAGTGGTAGATAAATAAAAATAAATAAATAAATCCATTTGTATTTATGCTTTCCAATATGAACTGCAGCTGGTGCTAATTACACATTATCTCATTTGTAATCTCTCATGGTTAAGTTTAATACAATCCTTGACGGTGGCTTTAAATGAGACCGATAAGGAATTCCATCCATATTTGCAGAAATGGGAACATTTTCTATTTTCCAAATATTTGCACTTTTTAGAAGGATGAAAGTCACCTTAAGGTAACTTGGTGTGGTGCATCTCTATTGTTACTTTTTCAAAATCAAGTTTAAAAGGTATAGCCTTTGTAATTTCTATGAGAATTTAGGAAGCTGATATGCAGTATAAGCTATTAGATAAAAGTTTGATAGTGGATTAGACTTAAAATCCACTAGCAAATATGTTTCTTACACATTTAATTTGTGGCATGCACAACTCTTAAAAACCAGTCAAATTTAAAAAAAATAAGGCTAGCTGGATAAAAATTGAATATGAAATACAAACTTAATGTATTATGCAATGTAATGTCATAATGAAATTATATCTTTATGTTAATTTCTTTTTATCAGTGGTAAAAAAACACACATCTCCAAGTATAGAAATACAGAAAAAGCTCATTCAACCCTAGAAATGAAACTTCCACAGATACTTCATAAACAAGGAACAGACATAATATTCAGTTACTTGTTGAGGGTCTTAAACTGCATATTGTAATGTTCTGAAGTGATTTTTTTTTTTTTTAGGAATGTCCGAAAGTCCATTTTCTACAATTCTTTTTTATGAAAATTGATTTGGTCCTGATGTCTATAGGAGTAAACTATAAGGAAGTCTGCTGTAACTGAATAAGAAAGTCATGTTTCTCTAGCACCTAAGAATGGCATCTGTATACATACATAAATACATATTCACCTGCCAATTACTGAATTTGATCTATAAAGCTTTCTATAAAATACTTCTTAAAAAGAATGAGGCACTCTTTAAACACAAATATGACTTTTATAAAAGTAATTAAACAAAAAGTACTGACCTTTGGGCTCAGTTTAAACACATACCATCACTAGCCAACTTTCCTTCTATAGTTCTCCTTGGAATGCCTCTAGGCAGAGAGTTATTTTACTTATCACTTAATCTTCAATACTAACAAAAAATAGCTTACTTAAAACCAGTATGAACTTCAGCACTGAGCTGTTGCTTTCTTCTTTTTTTAATCTATCCAAATATTTGACTTAGTGGTTCTTTGATACAGCTTTTGTTTTCTAATTTTTCTGGGATTTTAATGCCCTTATTTGTCTTCCAAATGTGATTCTGCTATCCATATTCATCATTTTTTCTTTAACCCAAGTTATATTAAGTTTTAACTAATTTATCTTTTCATGTACTATTAAGATATTCTTGGGTAATTTTTCTATATATATGTCTAAAGACTATATCTATTGATAAGTTGGGATACAAAATAGTTTATTTTGGCTTGAATTATTGATTAACTGGTTGAGCCACCCTTATAAACAAATACCTGTATTTGTTTATTCTCAAGAAGGTTTCAGACCCAGTCTTTAGCTGGGATGTTCAACCAATGTTGAGCATATAAAGTATTGTATATACTATCGATTCTCTGTAAAACTCTTTCAAAGTAAAGTTTCTGTTTAATGAGGTATTATTACCATCTAACCAAATTTTGAAATGATTACTTGATAAGTGTGTATAATTTTACTTCACTGCTATATTAATCTTTAAGACATTTGATTGAGAATTCTCTCATTGAGAATCCCTTTGCATTACTTAATATTATAATAAAGCTCACACCAGTTTGTTCACCTTTTACCCTTTAACAGTGAATTAAATTTTATGAAATCTTAAATGTATTAAAAGGTATTATCAATGTAAAATGAGTACTTAAGATTTGGAAAAATATGTTCTAGCATTTGAATTAGTACCATTTTACAGCAGTTGACCAGTTACATTGAATACTTGAACTGGAACCAATACCCCATACTAAGGTTTTAATATGCTGTTACAAATAACTAAAATGGATAGGAAAACAAGGATGAAACCACAGATACAGAAACCAATTGCGGTTTTGTCTTTTTAATTTTATGTTTCGACAGAGGGGAGTGTGTGAAATGAGTATGCATTTCTTTCCCCCCAAATAAAGAGAAACATGTTTTGAGACAAGTCTTTGGCTTGGGTTGGATCTGGACTCTGACACCTTTCTAAAGCCTGTGGCTCACTTTCAGGCCTGAGAGACTGGATTCTCTTCCGGCTTCTTTCCTGAAGAGTTTAGGTCATTTGGAAGATGATTGGAAGACCCCAGGTCATATCACCCTGAGGAATTAAACCATCGAATTCTGAGGGACTCAGGTTCTAAGTCATCTTCTGCAAGGGACTTCCCTGGCTTTGGAATATCCCCCATGGGAAAACCTAGGCCAGTCGCAGGAAGCACCCAAGCTCTTGGCTGGTCCTGACTTGATGCTGTGCCTGTTCCTTGTGGTTCAGTAGGGTGGCCTAGCAGTGAACTTCGTCTTCTGGCTGGGGCAGTAGGCTCTGGGCCAGATCTCTTTGCTGAGCATATTTTCATAACTTTCATGCTCCAATTAAACAAAAAAGAATACCTTGTACTTGATAATGGTTCACAGTTTTCTAAACACCTTTATGTACATTAATTAATTGAATCCTCCTACTAACCTTTTGGTAGGAGAAAAATGAGACAAGCAAGCTTAAGGTTTAGTCAAAGGTTTCACGTTCTCTATTAAGTTTTGCTCTTTTTCCTTACCCCACGCCACCTCCTCAAAATACAAATGAGAAAATGAAAGTTGGAGTGCTTTCTGTGCACCATAGAGGATGGGAAGTTTTATTGCTAGATTAGAAAGTGGAACACATAGGAGAACATTCCCCTGTAGAATACATTAAATGCTTGACAAATCTGCTTGGGAAGACTTTGGACAATTGGACATTTCTGAGATCGTGGAGGAAATGTCTCCTTCCAAGTTTTTGTCACATGAAATATCTGGGAGAAGCCAATCCCTTCAAAGCTCTTTGGACTTAAAGGTTTCTTTTCTGACTATACTTAGCAGATTTTCCAGGTGAATTTATAAGGAGAATTTTATTAATAATTAATGACTATTTTTGGGGAATTATTCCACAGGACAGATCATTTTTAGGTTGATGATTTCTATTTAGGTATGTGCTTATTCTGGTTTTATTTGTATGTTTTAATATGTGTGACTTCTGGAATTAAGATAACAATTTTTGTTTTCATGAGACTGTCAGAAAGCCTATTAATTACAAAGTTATAACTTTTACATGAATTATGTAATTTTTTCCTGTATTCTTTTCTCTCTGTGCTATTCTTTAGTTTCTTCTAAAGTAATATGTGATATTTTATAACAGTGCTTTAGAAAATATGCAAAGTTCATATCAACAAAATATAATTACTATGATAATTGCACCTTTCTGTCTCTTTATAACAAATTCTTCTATAATATAATGAAACATAGGTTCGTTTATAGGCAGGAACTTAACACTTGATAAAAGTTTTATTTAAGCTCTTATATGCTTGTAAAATGCTTCCCATTAGTAGTCATCTTTTAACATCTAGAAGATTTAAAGTCTGGAGTTGGAAAACTGGTTCCTACAAAAGGAAGCAAACTGTAAAAAGATGAAACTATAATACTCAAGACAGTGTTAGTATGTAAAAATTTGAGAATGGAGACTATTTTCCATCACCAATAAGAATGCCTCAAAATAGCACATTTCTTACATACCATTACTAAGAAAACATTTACAGTTTGCATACCTTGAAAAATAAGTGTAGGTTAGATTTGTAAAATTAATGATAAAGCCATTTGCTACTAAAATTTAGACATGAATGAGCTAGATTTAGCAAAGGGCCATCAAAAACAGATTCAGCATATTTTAAAAAACAAGAATTTTTCCAAATAAAGAAGTCCTATATAACATCATGAATCAATGTAGTACAGTGGTTTCTAAGATAGCATTAGCATTAGACGGACTCAAGTTCAGATCTCAGCTTTGCCCCATGGATAAATTTTTACTTAACCTCTTTTCTTTTAAGAGAGTTTTCTTAATCTTAAAATGGGGTGATCGTAGTACCTACTCAGGATTGGCATGCAGGGGTGGAGTTAATGTACATTTACATGATGCCATCACTTAATAAACAACTAATAAATGCCAGCCTTTACTATAGTTATTAAACCTACACCAAACTTCAATTGTGTGTGTGCTGTGTGCTTACAGTCAATTCCTCCTGCATCAACAAATTACACATTCACCACTCAGGACCACAGCAGAGTTCATTTTGTGCAGTTTGTAGGTAGAATGTATACAGTATGTGGAGTTCATTTTGTAGCATGGTTTGTTGCATTCAGCAATCTGTGAAGAGGCAAGGTGGAATTTTCATGGAGAATTTGTATCTGCTGCACAAGTTTGGTGCAGTAAAAAGCAGACCCGAATGCTGCACCTATCCCCATGTGGGAGAGTAAATAGTAGAAGCTCCAATTCTTAACAACTTCCCCGGCACCGCTGTAATGATGGAGGTAGTACACTCTACCTTGATGAAAGCTATTCGGAAAGCAATGGCATTTACTTTACCTCCTGTGCTATTTGTGGGAAAAAGCTAAAGAGTAGTTTGCTTTGCCTGGAATGAACTACTTTACGAATTTTAATGTGTGATATAATATTAAAAACTAAACCAGGATTAAGGAAGATTTTTTTTGTACTAAGCTAAAACAGTACTTTGTAGCATGAGGTATAAAAGATTTTTGTTTCCATTTTTACCTGGGGAAAAATTCAGCTTTCATATTTTTGAAAAGCTGTCCAAGTCAGTTCCCCTTAAGCAGTAGCTCATGTTTAAGAAAAAATGTGATTCCAGAATTCTAACAGCCTATCTGTGATAAGGTACATTATCTGAGCCAACAAGATGATAAAGAGCTTTTCTAAATATTTTTTAAATGAGTAATACAGTTTCTTTATATTTTTAAAAGTTGTCACTTTTACTTTTTTTTTTTAATGTTTTGTGTGTACTTCTTTTCCACTTTTCTGATTGCATTGTCTCCTGGAAAATGGTTATTTGATTTTAAAAAAGTGATTTAAAATGATTACTTTTTGATTTAAGTTGTAATTTCTTTATTAAGAAAAACCTAAAAAGTTTTAGAAACAAAAATCAGAGTTCAAACAAATGATTATAGCCCATCTGAAAGATAAATTCTTAAACATAATTTTTACAAAAGGATCAAAATTATTTTGAAAACATCCAGAAACACCGACTTTACAAAGCCCTCTGTCTTAACTATGGCTAAGCAGATTGCTACCAAGGAACTGTTTCTCCAGTGCACTGGACTTCGTGCTGCCGTTTCCATAACATTCAATTTTCAAAGCGATTGAAATGGCTTTTCTCTTTCAGTTAAGCAGTGGGAAAAATAGGTATTAAAAGGGACCCCATAGGGTGATCAGATCTATCCTTCTGCCTCAAAGCAAGACCACCCCAGAGCAAAGCTGTGAATCTTTCCAAAGCAACTTTGCAGGCAGTTCATGGAAATCTTGCTTATGCTGCTGCCATCCACATCTCCAGTTAGGAGGCCCAGCCACTTGTCACTTGTGCTTGCTCACGTCTGTGTCCTCACTGGGTCCAGACATTTCACAGCTACCCTCTCAGTGTTTTGAAGGGTAGTGTCCTTGTGGGAGAGACAATCTGGCTGCCTTCTCAGGATAACCAAGAGGTGAGTTACTTTGCCTACTGGGTAGAAGGTAGGATTCAGAAGGCACATTTTAAAGAGGACTCATATTTATTCTGTAAGTGCAGAAAAATGGAATCGCTTAGAATACTCACTGTCCCTCTTTTGATATCAAATATTTTGGGGGAGAATGAAGTAAATCTGGAAGACTTGCCTTATGATGAGGGAGGGTATTTCCTTTTCCTAAAATGCACTTCATTTTTTACTGTTAATCATATATGTGAGAAACTGTCCAAGATGACAAGTTCCAAGAGGAAAAAAACCTGGGTTCTGTAAAGGACCCTAAAAATTGCAGTCCATAATGATTCAGGGTCCTGTATCTGTGGCAACTTCTCATTCCTAGTCAAAAAAACAACTACATATTTCTTTTTCCAGGCTGGCATATAACTGCATAATAAAAATTAAATTTGGAGTTTTTAAAATTAGTAATAGCATCAATAAATTTTGAGGTTGAGATTTGATTTCTCCCCTAAAAATTTTGTGGCTTTTTTCCTGCTGATACCTGGCTTGTCATTTACCAAAGGCATTGATATTAATTTTTTACTCAAGGTTATACATTCTGAATATACGTAAGTCACTGATTATGTGTTTTGTGTAACTTGCAGTAATGTCTGTTAAATATTGTGAAACATTTTCTTATTGTCTGGTTCCAAAAGTCAAAAGGAAATAGTTACATTCTGAGGTGCCAGGAAAAGATGAAATAATTATACAGAACAGCTTGGACATGCACATGTAAAATGCAACCAGCCTTTATGATAATTAAGCAAGGCACTCTACCTGTTTCATGGATGGATAGAAGATTTAAATGTGCAGCTCTGCAAATGGCTGTGTTATGGAAGATTTTTTAGATGAAACATAAGAGGAAGAGGCATAAAAGAGTAAAATTAAAAAGGCCATAGTATATAATAGCTATTAGTGATGCAATTGTCTATTAGACACCAGACACCCAATGAAGATACAGCACTAGGCATTACGATTTTAACTGTGAATTTCCTTTGTTCAAATTGCAGTGGACGGTAATTGGGAGACAATTAGTTTAGGGTTTTCAAGTCTTGAAACTATTCTGTTTTCCAGAAAACTTACTTTATGGCATTATAATTCCTAGTTGTCAGCTGGCAGCACTGCGGTGTTACAGATTCACCCACCTATGACAATGTGACTTCCTTAACTTAAGCAGTCTGATCTCGAGGTGATAACTAACGCTGAATGACTGCACTGTTAGTCACCTTGATCATAAAAGGAGCAACAATGTCCAGTTTGGATGCAGAATCTGAAAAGCTTCAAAAACAATTTGGCCAGTGAAAAATGACAGACATGTTCAAAATGTTTTGTAGGTGAAAACAGCAACTATTGCCACTGAGAGGAATGGGAAACCAGAGAACAATACCATGAACATTAATGCTTCCATTTATGATGAGATTCAGCAGGAAATGAAGCGCGCTAAAGTGTCCCAAGCACTGTTTGCAAAGGTTGCAGCAACCAAAAGCCAGGTAAGAGCTTCTGTTAGATATTGAGGATGTTTATTTGCGATGCCTGTGAAAAGTTCACTCAAAAGGGTGTCTATTTTCAATATGAACTTGCATCACTGAGAGGTCGCAGCCTTCAGGGTTACTGACAGAGAGAGCTCTATGATAAAACAAAATGTTCAGGTTCAGGTAATAGACACTTGGTTTTATTTCCTGCAGCAGCCACATGCCAGAGCAAGGATTTCTCAGGAAAATCTCTAGTCAGTCAGAAGTTGTTTTCAGGAGAAGAATGTCATAATATGTAGGAAATTTTTCAATCTTGTCTATTGTAGCTGAACGAGTAACTTGAATTATTGTTTCATTATTACTAAACAACTGATTTCCATGCTAAAATACTATAGTTTCCTCTGTTCCAATACAGGCCTCTACAACTCTTAGGTACACTTAGTAAAGCAAACTGATCCACACACACATATATCTTGATGTTACCGATACTAGTTTTTTGATGAGAACATATTAATGATTTTAGTTTTTCTATGGATGTATATATATAAGACATGAATTGGAAAAATTACCAATCCCTTTTTGTATAGGTGAAAAAGGTGGACACATAACAAATTCAGTCCTTTATCATCGTAATTGTCATAGATTGGTAATTTATGTTCCTGCGTATGAACAAACTCAACAATTACCTATGAGCCCTTGTTCAAAGCCAAGGATACTTTTTAAAGTTTCAGAAGAATACTAAACTGTCTTCCCCTTACAAAAATGTTCAATAACACTATCAAGGTGAGTAAATTTAGAAACAGTCAAGGGCTCAGGTGAGATTTTAACTACTTGAAGGTGTTCATTATCATTAACAAACCCTCCTTTATGAAACAGCCTGACTGCTTGTCAACTTCTGATAAAAATGTATAATCCTGAGAGTATTTACAACATGATGTGTTTGTAATACAGTACTTTTTTAACTTTTCCTTAAATTTTACACTGTCAGCATCAGTACTTATACTTGATGGGAGTTTTGCTTTAGAAGAGGTTGTTCTTGTTTAAGTTACAGGCTGGATGAATTACTTAAGGGATATCTTTGAAATGTTATATGAAAATGATTAAACTCAAGCTGTGGACTGTAAAAATTATAGCTTTATAGGCCACATGCCTGCCTACCCTTCAATCACTGTCAAAGTGATAATTTCTACAATAATATGTTTCTTTTATTGTGAGATTCTAAACATCAAGTGCTGTTTAAACATTAAACTGAATTGTTTATGTTAGTGCTGTACTCAGCGTGTCATACATCAGGCCACCGTAATCTCTCATGGAATGTAAAATTCTGTCATGAATCATGGCTTGTATATCGGAAATTACTGTAATTTTGATTGGAAATTACAGGGCTCTTGAAATGTTTCTAATTATGATAGAATGTTAGAGCCGCTTCAAACCTGTGTACTTCTTCAGATGTCTTCATTTACATGCCAAGACTGCGCTAAGGAGAAATGTCCTGTTCCTACTTTACCCCTTACCCACCCACCCTGCACAGTCTTGTTTTGGCTATTTAGTTTAATTATGATGAGGATCTCATATTTAAACATATATTATCTTTTCTTTCTGATCCTACATCTTTCCTGACCTGTCCAATTAAATTATGAAGAATAACAGACTGTATTCCTGTGAGGCCAAACACTTTCCCCAAGTTTCCAAAATAGATAAACAGAGAAACTGTAAGAAGAGTCATCCTTAAACAAACAAAAATAAACATCAGAACTTTCTGATAACTGGTTATAGCTTCCCATCTGTCATTTAATGCACTCTGCCCCCCGCCAATCCCTCTTGGACCACAGCACAGAACCTTAAGTAGTCACTTTGCTACCTTCATTCTCGCCTCCTTTGAAACAATATCCCAGATTCTGTGCCTCTGGGCTGAGTTACTGATTTTAGGACTATTCAGGCAGACACAGCAGTTGGCTGATAATGTCATGCAAGATTTTCTGGGGAGATTTTAGACATCCTTGTTCTTTGTACCCCTGTCCTACGAAGTTCCCCATGAGTATTTCAACAGTGTTGACTGGCAACTTCTGGGTTTCTGCCATGATAGTGTGCTTCCCAGAGCCCCCAGAACTGTTAATCCATCCCCTTATTACTCGTTGAGAGAGAACCTAGGTGGCCACTTGTTGTCTATGGAGTCAGGCAAATTTCACTTTCATTCCTTCTGATAATTATTGCTAATTTGTTGTAACTTCCTAGCAAAATATTTTTGTAGTTGTTCAGTTTAGATGTTAGCACTATGCTCTTTATGAAACTATGTGGAAAGGTTGATGATTACTTGGAAATAAGACAGTCCCTAAACTGTATGTATCACTAAGAGGAAATCTCACTATTTTAACAAGGAAAGGTAGTCATTTACTTACGTTCTATTATTTTGCTGTGGTTTTGTGAAGGAAAAAAATAAACTAGCAGACTCCCCCACCTAAAAAAATTTCAAGTCAGGCTAATCTTTTTTATGGTTGAGAAACTCTTAGCTTATAAAAGTCATTGACTCCTTACATGTATGTGCCAAGGCCTCTCTGAATGAGGCAGAGGTCCCCTGGAGGAAGTAAGTATACGGAGGGGAGTCCCAGAGCCGTCTTTGTCTCAGCCCGGCTCTTCTAGCTGTTCCCGTGTCTACACTGACTCAGTAGTTCGCTTCACATTGAACACTGTTTTGTGCTAGACTCCACCATGCATTATATAGTGCCTACACTTAGTTCTCAGAGTTTCCCTGTGAGCTGACCTTGTTTTTCTCATTTTACACATGAGCGTCACTGGACTGATGAATAGTGAGCCTGCCCCAGAGCCACTTTGTCTCCCCTACTTCTTAGCATCTCGTCAGGGCTTCCAGCAGCATCCATCTTGGAGTTAATCCTGCTCCAAGAAAAGGAATTTGGGATACTGGAATTGATAGTGCAAACAGAGAGGGCTGTTTTTTCTTCATTGACGTATTCATGGATACAGGTTCTTAGCAATACAGGGTCCTTGGAATCTAGGCTCGCTCATGTCCCATTGGGGTCAGGGGGGAAATACATGGTAGAGAACTCAAAGGAGGCTATGGTCCAGGCTGTGGCACTGGTGTTATAATATTGAGAAATTACTTAACCTTTTTGAACCCAAGATTCTTTTAACATGGGAGGAAGTCACATGCTATAATGTATGTCCAAGAGCTTTTAAATTATACATCATTTTCTAGCAATCTGTGCAGCACTATACACACATGGATTATATCTTATAATGTGCGAAGCAAAAAGCTTAGACCACCATGCAAAAGGAGTTATTTAAAAATATCTATTTATGTACTTCAAGTACCTTTCATTTTAAAAGATAAAGCTTTAGGTAGAATGGGAGGTAGCATAATTATTTTAAGTTACTACAGTCCCAGAATGTTTTGGAACCAGACATATCATAGCTGTGCTATATAATGACTAATGCACAAGGTATTTTCAGTAGAAGAAACCAACTCTGTAGATTCCACCATTTCACTTATATTATGTTATCTCTTCTCTTCGATGAGTAATAGAAATGAGATTGTTTTTACCTCTAATAGAAATGTCTGAGTAAAATATGCAAGTAAAAACTGAAGGCAGGCTAGTCTTTGTGCTTGGGTAGGAAACCAGGCTAATGCAAACTTTAAAAAGATGATATGCTCTAAACATAATGTGGATAGCTACAAATGAATACACTTTATATTCTGAGTAGTCAAATAAGCAGCAGTTTTTCCAAGTGAATCATACTGGAATTTTATCAAACATTTAGTCTGATAACATTCAAATAATTATGAGAGCAGAATTCACTGATTTTACTGTTTTTAAAAAAAATAGTTTATTTGGGTAATAACCATTATAGTACCAAGGTTCAGTTACTGTTCATTGGTTATAGCGTTTTCATATGGGAGATGGAAATGGAATTTTTTCCTTACTGGTGGCAGATGTTGGAATCTAATTTTATTCTACAGCAAAGCCCCTGAGAGCTCTGAGACTTAAGGTGTATGTCCAGCAAGGGGACGTGAGCAGCGCGAAAGGCTTTGCCTTGTACATTGAATCGTTACATTGATTTTTGTGTTTGCAGAGGTAGGGCTATCAGATCCAGTAATGCAGGAAGAGAATGGGGCGGCTTTACACAGTGGCACTGCATTGCCACTTGTGTTCAGAAAAATGATTTTTCTAGTACTTTACTGAACAGGGTATTTCTTTTATATAAAGCAACTAGATGATGAAAGTTCTATTTGACTGAACATGCTTTCAGTATAATCGTTTGCAATCTCTACCCACCAGTTGGCTGCTACAACTTTGACTAGTTGATAGGAATGCTTTTTAATACTCAAAAAAGAGGATTTCTGCCTCTGTGAAGGTAGTACCACCAGTAGACAAGAACAAATAATTGAAAGCCTTTTGCCTTCTTCCATTTACTTTTCACACTTTGGTCATTGAGATTCAAGGCGCCCAGGATGAGAGAGAAAAAAGAAGAAAACTTTAGTGCTTTTTAGGTTCATAGGTGAAAAAAAGCATCTTTTTGACCTTTGGGTTTGGAAATTTGGTGGTGATAGGAATGTCTTTTAAATACAGGTAAGATATGATATGTCATAAATCAGTGGAGCTAGAAATAGGGCTAAAAATTAATTTTCTTTGTTGGGAATAGGACTGTAGAGTGACAAAATCCAGGAAAACCCATGAAACCATGTTTGCATTCCATGTTCTGGCATGTAAGTGAAGGCATCTTTTATTTTGATAGAATTAAGTTACACTTCACAGAAAGTACACGGTGAAGCTCTGTGCTGATTTATTCTTTGGAACATGCATGTAACAGACTCTTCTGCAACACGACTTCACCTGTGTAGCCTCTTATTTAAGACACACAGGAGGCCCCTGCAGATTGGAGAGCCACGGTTTCTGTTATTTCTGGTGCCACATCATTTCTAGCAATCTGTGGGGACATTTTTACATAGTGTCCTCATAGCCCCTTCTTGTGGGCAAATAGTTTTCTTCAGCCAGGGTCTG